GCCACGATTTATCCAGTTCACTTATACAGCATGTCTATTGAACTGTGGGGAAAACCGGAGCACCCGAAGCACACGGGGAGACCATGCAAACTCCACACAGAAATGCCAACTGGCCCAGCTGGGACTTGAACCAGCAACCTTCTTGCTATGAGGCAACCACTGAGCCACCGTGCCGCCCCAGAAACTTATGTTAGATTTTATAAATAGGTGCCGGCTAAGATAAGCATCAGTATTGCGATCACTCATTTTTCCAAACCCTTAACCTTTCAATTTGGCAAGTACAATAACCTGCCTCCGCCATATGTGCTACAGTAGGAAATTATAGCAAATCGTGCTGCTTACTGAGGCCATGTGGGCTGTTAATCTATAAAAGAGACTTACAAATACTGTAAGTGATGATTGATGAACATATAAAAAAAAATCCTCATACCTACACTGAATGATGAAGTAATATTAGGGCAGGACTGGTAAGCCAACACAAAGAATCAATCCATGATGAAGGCTTATATTTCCTGAGAAAATATCAAATCTAATTAATAAACTTGTTCATTTTTTTTTTCATTTGTTTGTTCATTCATTTTCCTTCAGCTTAGTGTCTTCATTCATCAGGTGTCGCCACAGTGGAATGAACCACCAACTTATCCTGTGTTTTACACAGCGGATGGCCTACCAGCTACAAACAAGTACTGGGAAACACCCATACACACTGATTCACACACACACTCATACACGAGGGCCACTTTAGTTTATTCAATTGACCTATAGCACATGTCTTTGGACTTGTGGGGGAAACCAGAGCACCTGGAGGAAAACCCCACAAGAACACAGGGAGAACATGCAGACTCCACACAGAAATACCAACTGACCTAGCCAGGACTCGAACCAGCAACCTTCTAGCTGTGAGGCGACATCGCTACCCACTGTGCCACCGCATCGCCCTATTCAAGTCCCTGCTGGGTCAGTTGGCATTTCTGTGTTGAGTTTACATGTTCTCCCTGTGTTGGTGTGGGTTTCCTCCGGGTGCTCCGGTTTCCCCCACAGTCCAAAGACATGCGCTATAGGTAAATTGAATAAGCTAAAATTGTCCATAGTGTATGAGTGTGTGCATGAATTAGTGTGTATGGGTGTTTCCCAGTGATGGGTTGCAGCTGGAAAGGGCATACACTGTGTAAAACACAGGATAAGTTGGGGGTTCATTCCACTGTGGTGACCACAGATCAGGGACTAAGGAACTAAGCCAAAAAGAAAATGAATGAATGAATGAATGAATGAATAAATGCAAACTTTTATTTTGGATGCCAACTGACAGCAATAGTATTAAATGTATTTAAATACCTTACAGACAAATCAGTAAAACCTAGTGGTTTGAAGGACACTGTTGCAAAGAATAAGGGGTTAGATGACAATTAACGAGTATTTGGGAGCTAAATTTATTCCCGTATAAACTGCTGTTACACTAAATTACACCATGTCTTCTATAAATCATGTTAGAATTGTATCATAGTCATTAAGATTTTCACATATAAAAAACTATTACACTTTACTACACCTCCACACTCTCCTCATAAATTAAACTCCCCATAAACACTGCATTATTAATTTATTATTTGTACAATTAAAGTTGCTAATATTAATAGCTCTACTTTCCAATAGTTCATCTTGAAATTTACATACCCACTGTACATATACATTTGTAATTATGTTCATATCTATCTGCATACCTCTGATTAGCAACCTGTACATATATTCATTAATTGTAAATCTCCATTCACAGTTAATGCAACCTGTATATAATGTTCACAGTACATCCATTTCTAAATATCACCATAGTTTTTCTATAATTACAGCCATTGCACTTCTGGTTAGACCTTAACTGCATTTCGTTTTCTTGTACATGTAATAAAGTTGAATCTAATTTAATCTACTATTTTGATGCATGAAAACATTTGATAGTAGTCTAAAGATATACATGATAAACATGAAAAAACTGTCACTGATAAACTGATAAACTGTCTCTAAACTGGAAAAGACTCTTAAAACCGCACACCATCTTAAAAAAAAAAGTGTAATGCAAGAAAAACCCATAATAATCTTACTGTAGACAAGCAGAAGGGAAAGTCTGGCAAGTGTGAATAGAGATGAAAGCTGTATCATCTGTGTGAAATATAGTCGCCGAAGACTCCTATCAGCTGAAATTATTTATCGTTTCATCTTTTCATCCTCTTCCCTCAGGTTGTAATTTGTCATAACTTAAAAGATGATATCCATCACCTTTGACACGCGGAGAAAATTACGTAGTCACTGGGAGTTATTGATGTATGTGAATTAATGAAGCTAGAAAACAGAGCCTCACCTCTGAAATGTTGAGTTCAATCAGGATGAATAACTATCTAGACATGAACCGCCTCCTCATTGCCACCACAAAAACCTTATGCAAATTCAATGTCTTATGTAATACGTGACTCCGTGCATTTGTGTTATCAGATGTATTAATCAGTGTTTTTCATTTCCGGGGTTTTTTATGTTGCATTTCGAGCTCGACGATTTGTGATTGTTTTTTTTATCAGATGCAGAGAAGATATCAAGATGTGTCCAGAATCAGCAGAAGACCTAATTAATATCTCGAACAAGTAAACCACATCAGGTGAGTTACGGCAAGACACTGCAGTCAAAATAATCTGTCAATATTGAGACAGCTGAAAGTGACATTTAATGAATTAACTTGCTTAATTAGGTTAACTAGGCAGGTTTGGGTAATTAGGCAAGTTATTGTATAACAATGGTTTGTTCTGTAGACCAGTGAAAAAATATAGCTTAAAGGAGCTAATAATTTTAACCCTAAAATGGTGTTTAAAAAATTAAAACTGCTTTTATTGTAGCCGAAAAAATATCAGAATATTTCTCCATCAAAAAAAATATTATCAGACATACTGTGGAAAAAATCGCCGTTAACCTATGCTCAAAGTTGGGTTGGGTGCTGGGTCTATTCTACGCAAGCAATGATGACTTTCACCTTGATATTTTAGCGCATATGTATACCTGACCGGTGAGCCGTCTGACGGTGTCCTTCTGAATCAAATCAGCAGGATGCCTGACTTTAACTGCAGTTCGGCAGTTTCACTTTAACTCATGAACATTTCATTCATGCCCCTGTCACAAACTGGAGACGCAAGTAAGGACTGGTGAGAGTGTTATGGAATTTATTAACGCACGCCAAAAGGAAAGAAAAAAACTTCCGCATTTCGCAATGTGTGATTTTGTGTTTGTGTGCGGTTCTTTACTGACAGCTGCATGTGTTGAGCTTGTCAGAAAATATGGTGAAAAGTCCTACATGACGGTAATAGTTTGATTGCGGTGTTTACTTCAATAATGCCACTAATATATGCATACTCCACATGTCTTAATTTCATTTCTGTTTAGTTCAGTTATGATTTTAGTTGGATTAAGGTGATTACAAATCTTATTGAACATCATTTATTTTCATCACCAATTATCATAGTAGAACAGTTTCTCAAGCAGTTTGTGATGCATTTTGAAAACAGGAGATGAGCCCCTGGTCTAATGCGCCACCTGGCTTGAGAAACCCGTTCTCAAAGACTTATTATTTGTGTAGCACACATATTCTGAATGCCTTTGGTAGAATTCAAATGAGCCATTTTTATCTAGATTAATTCAGAGATTAATCTAGATTTAAAAAATAATAATAATCAATGCCCACCTATAATATATATATATATATATATATATATATATATATATATATATATATATATATATATATATATAGCAATAAATGTCGAGTTCAGCAGCTCTTGCATACACCAAACTTCGGTTTTATTCATATCTGTATTTTAAAGGTGTTAACAGAAGGATTAGTTCATGCATGATTTGCTTGCTTATATAATATTATTTTATTCTCAATATTTATATTCCATTTTCTGCATTATGGAATGATGAAAATAGATTTCCAGCATTCCCTCTGTAAAAACATATGACTAATATGTCTAAAAAAACTGAACCCAAATGAAATGTATACAAGTTATTATTATTATTATTATTATTATTATTATTATTATTATTATTATTAAGATTTATTTTTGGCCTATTTTGCCTTTATTGGATAGGACAATAATCAGACAGTAAAGTGGGAAAGAGAGGTTGAGATAGCGTTGGGAAATGTCCTCGAGCCATGATTCAAAATCGGGATGCCCTGAAGTGCTACAGCACCATATGTCGGCACACTAACCACTAGGCTTTTGCGCCGACTGTAAACGAATTATGCATGTGTAACGAGATGTTTACATATTTAAATATAATATTATAAAAAATATTTTATCCATACAAATGTTTGCCATTCTTAAAGGTGCCATAAATTTCAAAATCTGGATATACCTAGGCATAGACGGATTATACATTTATTCAGCGCCACCAGAACTGCCATAAGTTCTATTTAACTGTTATGTTAACGTGTATATTGTGAAGTTTGCAAAGTATGTTTGTATACTGATCTCTCAGCTCTTTTTTCTGGAGTAAAAGGATGCCAAATAAAGTTCAAACACTCATCTGTTTGACATTAATAACTTTTTATATGTGTTAAAAACACAAAATACTAAAAAAACAAAACTCTGATACATGTCTGTCTGCCCCTTTTGTTGAGTAAAATGATCATTTAGCCTATATTCCATTCAAAAACACTTCAAACCCAGGAGCAAACTTTCATTTCATTCACTAACTCACTCCTTCTAGCTAAAATAAACCTCTCCACTACTTCAGCTGAAAATATTGTGACTTAAGAACAAATCTACTCAATTTGATAAAAAAATAATTTGACAAATGAAGTATGATTGTTTTGCAAATATTTCAGTGTATCGTGGTGTGTGTGTGAGGGAGAGAGAGAGATAGAGAGAGAGAGGAAGAAGTGTAGTACTAACATTTAATTTTTTCTCTATTCACCTCCAGTGTCTTACCTAAAAGAGCACTCTCACCTCTCATACACCCCAACATGGCTGGAGTCGCACCCATCCTCCTGTTCCTGTTAATCCCTGTGGCCCAAACGACCCCCAGATACGCTCCACCGCTGGCCGGATCCAAGCGGGAGATCATAATAGACGGAGACCTGGTAATCGGAGGCCTGTTTCCGGTGCACGAGAAGGGAAAAGGGACCGAGGACTGTGGTAAAATTAATGAAGAGCGGGGGATCCAGAGATTGGAGGCCATGTTGCTTGCGCTGGATGAAATTAACCAAGACAACCGTATCTTGCCCGGCTTGAAATTGGGAGCCCATATACTGGACACCTGCTCGAAAGACACGTATGCACTGGAGCAGTCGCTGGCGTTCGTGAGGGCGTCTCTCACTAAAGTGCATCAGCCAGGCTTCATCTGTCCAGACGGGTCAAATCCTGTGCCGGATGAACTGCCGCTGGCCATTTCTGGAGTGATCGGAGGATCGTATAGTGATGTTTCTATACAGGTAAGGTAAACACTAAACACAAAGCGTATCATTTTCATATTGATTCATTCAGTTCAAGTACTAAAATGACTAAAAGGAAATCTAATAAAAATGACAAGTTAAACTTCCAAAACTTTCATTTTTGCTATTTTCATGACAGTGATTGACCAGAAACAGAAATGCCTGTCTACTTGTTTTTTTAAAGGGGTGGTCCAGATTGTCTTAAGACTTGATTGTGTTTATGGGGTGCAAATTAGTGTGTGCTTATGCTTTATTTGTTAATAATCACCCTATTATTTCACATATCTTACCATAATTTTCTACTATTACTCTGCTAATATAAAAATAACTATCATATTTTCTGGTTCATCCAAAGGCCTGCCCTCAACCGGCTCTGTTTGGTCAGCTAACCTAATTAACCTATATGTATCTTGTTGTTGTCCCCCGAACTTCACTATGTGAACTCTGTAAAAGTCGGTCGCTGCGTCCGAAAATGCTTAGTAGGTACTGGATTATAAGTAGGTATGAATGTAAGCAGTATGAATGAAACTTGAATGTACTACATCCACCATTTTGCATGTGACCTACACGTGATCAGTTGTATCGCTTCACTCCCATTCATAAATTCTCTTGCTGTGCATCATCAGATACACACTTCAGAATCTAGCCAGAAGTAGTAAGTCATTCGGGTACTTATCGCATACTGTTTTTTGAATTTTGAAGTTTGTTGCATGTTTATCCCTGCGATGCTGTCAGGGGCAATACAGCAAAGCTGTTTGTGTGCAGCAAGCGTTTTTATCGGAAGATCAGTAGGAGAATAGGAGAATGGCGTACGTTGTCTTTTATCAGGAGTTCGTTCACAATAAGACAAATCGCCTGGCTGCTGTGTTTGCCTAAATCTTCTAGATTACCAACAGGGCTAATGGTTAAAATAGACAGGGCAAGAGACCTGCTGCACTAAGTCTGCATTCAGACCCGGGGATTGAGGGAAAAGCCCTTATTTATAGTGTTTATATAAACACGATTATCTTCATAATGATAGAAATTGTGGTTATCTGTATATGAAAAAAACGAATAACAAATGTAGCAGGACATTAAATTACTGTTTATTTCTTTGCATTTTAACTTTGTAAACTATAAAATCATGCGTCTCCTCACGGTTTGTGTCTCATTTTGTGAGCTGACAGACAACAGTTGTTCACTCCCCTCCTTCTCCCCTGCTGGCCACGCCCACTCCTGCCCTTTGCTCGCGGAGCTCCACCCTAAACCGAAAGTGAGGGGTGTCATGGCCCTTTAAGCTGTATTGAAGTGTCTTGAAAAAAATGTAGTCAAGTATTATTTACTGTCATCATGGCAAAGATAAAATAAATCAGTTATTAGAGATGAGTTATTAAAACGATTATGTTTAGAAATGTGTTGAATAAAAAATGTCTCTCCGTAAACAGAAATTGGGGAAAAAATAAACAGGGGGGCAAATAATTCAGAGGGGCTATTAACTCTCACTTCAATTGTATATGTCATGATGTTTATGATTTCTTTTTATTCAGTACAGCATAAAACATAATTTTTAGCTTAAACCATTTACATAAAGTGCAAATCAACAACTAAATAAACATATTTAGGCATAAAAAATACCTGTGTATTAAAAAATACCAATACAATGCCTGTGTGCCGGTAGCCATTGACTTGCAGGACCACAGTTTTAACTATAAAATGTTCAAATGTTCTACTGAGAGAATAAAGTCACCTACATCTTGTATTTCAGGTGAACTGTCCCTTTAAAAACACTGTAAAAAGTGCTACACTCACAAAGTTGGTTCTATCTACTTTAAATAAATGCAATCTAGTTAATTTTATTTGTTTTATACCAAAAAAATAAAATTTGCTTCCTCTTTACTTAAAATATATCAGTTTTTATATAACTGTATATTTTGAATAAAACTAATGCAATTTATTTGAGTAGATTTTTGTATGTGGTTATTGTGTAGAATAAATGTTATAAAAGTGAGTTGACACAGACAATTTATTAGAGCAGCTGTCGATGTGGACAGGTGTTCATAAAACGTGATTTTAATAGTTTGGCGTGACTCCTTTTTCATTGCCCGGGATTTAGCAGGCAGACGCAGCTTCTGCAATGGTCGACATTAACTGCTCCCAGCAGCGGATCTGATTAACACGGTAAGTTGCAAATTTAGCCGAATGATAATTGTAAAGTCATGCAAAACTGCTGTCTTCGCTAGGCAGGTGAGGTTTTAGCTTTGTAAATTGTACTGTAGCCTCAGGTATGTTAACAGTTAGACTGCTCTCACATGGAAAGCTAAATTGGCTTACGCTGACCAACGCTAGTTTATGCTAACGATTAAAAGTGATATTATTGAGAAAAAATAGTGAAAGTAGTTTTAAAACACTTAGTAGGTATAACTAACGTTGCAGAACCGATTAACAAGGTCACTGGTGGGCGGTCGGGGTGTGGGGGTTCAGTTTGTTAGCGCTAACTTAGCTAAAGTTAGCTCACCTAAGTTATAGCAGCACATTAAGGATGGATATTAAATGCAGAAACGTATGCAACAGTTAAGTAGTTTGTGTTTAACGTAAGAGAAAGTATAACTTAAAGTTTGTGTTTTAGAGATTTAGTCCATAAGTTTTTTAATGCTGCATAGTGAATAAATTACAGATTTACAATTTATTTTAACTTAAATTACATTTACTACTGATGTTTACAGAACCATTTAAATTGTATGCACCTCATTCTAAAATGCATGTTCTTGGTCTTTAGATACCAAAGTGATTTTGTTACCTGTGGATCTTCAAACTTCACATCCAGGTAAGAAAAACATTAGATACAATTACAGCTATAATTATTTGCAGGTAAGTAAAACATGGGTAAAATTGCAAACAATAGTGGGCTCCATAGAATTAACTTACATTTGATATCTGAAGATTTTTTTATGTGTGCAACAGTAAAAACAGTATAAAAATATTCTAATGCAGTTTCTTATTATCTGTCAGTCTTTCAATAAAGCTAACTGATAACACTGAATCACTGAACTGTCATTTGCCAGTCACATTAAATTTGAAGAAAGTCAATTAAATGTAGCTTTAGCAAAAATTTAATGTAAACCTTAATGTAATGTGTAAAATGTCAATGTATTTATTTATTTATTTAATAAAATTTGTATTATGACGTGCAAAGTTTGGTGAAAAATGAAGATGACAATTAAATTATAGAATTTGTATTCTATAATTTTCATATAGCCATTTTCAAACAGTTTTAATATCTAAATTACATACACATTCTTATGCTTTATAAGTTGTCAAAATAAACAAAAAATGTAATACCTAAATTTTAACAATTCTTTGATTGACAGGAAACCACAATGACATGCACTGTTACACTGAGTAAAATCACAGTTTTCTTTAAAATTTGATAACTAAAAACACCTGGAATAATGTAATTACACAACCTCTATAACCTTTTTTTATTTTTTAAATAGAAGTTAGGTAATTTTAACTAAGGTAATTTTTAACTGATAAACTAAGGTGTTTCATCCATGCATCATTCTCACTGGACTTTTGTAACTTCACTTGTAGTTATTTTCTATTTAGTATTTAGCTATTTAATGTTGTTTGGTAGCAACCACCTGAACTCCTGTTTCTTTTTGTCTCTACCAATAGAGTTGTGAGGAATCAGAGGTGCATGCGGCTGCCCACGGGAAAAATTTGCCATCAGCCCAACACAGTTTGGATTATCATAGGACTGTCAGAGGTTTGCCAAACCTGTCAAATGCATGATGGCTCCTGTTTGGACTTACCGATGTCCTCGACTTCAAGTATCCATCAAAACTGTATACATTTGAGATATATTAGAGACTCTTTGTGGGACTGGACATTATGCATCCTAAATCTTCATCAAAATATGCAAATCTCCTCACTGAGTTGCCTTGGATGATTTCTCAATAGGATCTGGTATTATTAATGTTTTTATTTATGTATTGTGTACGTGTAGCCACATTAATGGCCTATTTTGTAGTCACTATTAAAAGGAACATCGATTGATATTGAATACATGTTATGGTCTTTAATCCATCTTCCCATTCTTATTTAATTGTTATTGACAGGAAAGTCTGTTTATCTGTTTTTACTAGTGTATATTGTGCTTACAATATAGAAACGAAGATTTATTTTCTGAGGTTACAGCCAGAAGTCAATTAAATTCGTTTTAAATGACATATGCATGGTTAATTTTATTTAGATCATTAAGTTCATAATACTTAATTAAAACGAGTACAGTCAACATATAGCAATGTATAAGTAAGTTAAGTTTAACAAAAAAAGTAAGTTTATCTGATTTGAGTAATTTTAAAAATATTAGTTGGCTCAACTTAATTTTATTGCATTTGTTTTAAGCAATGTTTTAGTGTTTAAAATACTTAAAAAAGGCTGGAAGTTGAATCAACCTAAAACGTCCGATGCAACCACTTGCCTCACTTTTTATAAGTTAGATCTAAGTAACATTTTTTACAGTGAATGCTTGTTTTATGCAACTGGCTGCAATCTTGTTTTTTTCACAGATCCATGCCTCTTGCAGTGTAATTTCAGTTCACTGAACTCTGAAAGGTGGCTGCTACGCCCCTGCACTACATTTGGTTCACTTTGTTGTCTGAATAAGCCCAGACTATCATTAATACCCTTTCTCGACTTCCCACAGGGTTATTTGCATTCTCACTCACAGACATGAATTTGAAATATGAGCAGAATGTGTTATCATAGCAGTAAGCATAACACACAGAGGGACGCACTTCTGACCGCGTCTCTTTTTTATATACATTACACTCAAATCCTCCTTATCAAACCACAGCAACATATACATCCGCCCATTGCTCCGTCAGCACAATACAAACTGACCTCCTCCTGAGCGAAGCACCCAGAGACTGTGAATCTACAGCTTGTTAATTATGGTTCTTTGCCTTTAGGCAGTGATTAGCATGAGACGACTGAGTGCTAATTGCCCTACACTCACG